TACCTGGGGTTTGATGTCTTTGGTTCTATTAGCAAAAGAACGTGGATTTTTCAGATCGAACATTGTTTCTTGGTCGTGTACGAACGTGATCTTAGGACGAGGCTTAGGTGCGAAGTAATTTTTGAATTGCGCAGGTTTGTAACGTTGATATAGGTTCTGCGTCTATCTATCTTTAGGAGTTGGTCTTTTGCGTTTGCAATTTCTTGAATCATGGCTAGGGATGGAATAATGTGCACACAAATTAGTATCCGATGCGGTCTAGATAAGTTTTCTGTTGTCAAATTCGATAGGGTCTCCATTTTTTGCCGCTTCAAGATCAAATTTGTTACTGAAATGCATAAAGGCGTAAAGTAGATTTCTGTAGTTCGATCGTGCTTTAGGAATTACCCACGTGATCGCATTGACAGCTTTTTCGATAGGTTCTAATTCCCTACTAGTGGTGTCTTTAGGGAGATTTGTTAATTTCAACGTATATAGGGAGCGAGTCTTAATTTCTTCATTTGTGAGGGAGCAGACATGTATTCTGACCATGTCTTTCAACACAAAGAGGCCAGCATGTGAAGTGAAAAAGGACATGTCAGTTTTGGGTGCGTATGAGATGGTCGCCTGTTGCCAAAGGTTTTTCGTCATCATTGTGCATCTGATGATCATACTAAATCTGGCAAATGTAGATCTGATGTTCTGTTCAGATGTTGAGATTGAAATTTCTGTGACCTTGATCGACAGATTCAGGTCGAATTTAAATGGGGCAGGTACAGTAAGGGGTGAAAATGTGACGGTTTTCATATTAGGAATTTTAGCAGCCATTGCATGGTTAGCGTTATCTCGAGTTGTAAAGCCTAAACGGACAATTTTCAACATTTTGTTAGTGGGTCAGGTTTGATGGAAGCACCAATTAATGAAGGGTAAGCTGCGCCATTGAAGAGTTCGTAAGCTTTGTTGGTTTTTTCTTTGAAGGATTTATTCAGAAGAAAGGTTTCTGTAGCGCAGTATATGTAGAAAATAGTCATGTCTCGAACTCTTCAAAAGTAATGGTATTCCTGCTAGTGTTTTTTTCATTTAATAAATTTTCTGAGGCGTCAAACGCTTGGTCTTCATCCATTTTATTATCATCCCCAGGGACTGATGTTTCATTATCCTTTGGTTTGAGAATAGGAAGGAGGTCAGAGATAATCGTTCCTGTTGTGTTGTTATCTTTGGAAAGTTGAGTATCATTATAATAGTCAAAAGTTTTATTTCTAGCTTTTATTTCTGTGAGTTCTATTCCCACTTGCTAGTCTATACTCATGTCACCAGCTGAAAGAATATTGGTAGTCGTTACGACTTTTGACGGTTCAGCTGGAGTTTCTAGTATTTGGGCAGACCTGTCAGTCATGGTTTTCTTCTAGGGAGGTTCGTCTTTATTTTTAGTTGGGGAGTCAGGGCGCATACGCAAGTTGTGGTTATTGTTTTGTAAAAATTTTTGATTTTTTTCTTTTCCCATTTTTTTGGTTTTTGGAGAGAGAGGGGAAAAAAATTTCGATATGCAAAATTAATCTATAAGGCTAAAAGGGATAATCGATTTTGTGTTATATTAAAATGATTAATAGTACTGTAACTAAATTAGATAATTAAATGATTTACATGTCTTATTTCCTAAATTTGGTAGTCTAATTTTGTTATACAAATAGGCCTTATTACATTACACGATATTAATGATATTTATTTCATTTTTTCATTTTTTCATTTTTTTCATTTATTTTATTTATTTTATTTTATTCATTTATGTTATTTATCTATTATATTTATTTTATTTATTTTCTTTATTTTATTTATTTTATCATTATTAGTGAGTATTTTTATATAAATAAGAGTAATCCATCAATGTAAAAAGGATAAGAACCATCTTGTCTTAAATAATTCTTTTGATAAATAAACTGTTTAGTACAGACGCGCTAACAGAGGCAGTACTAGTCTTTTATTTGTTAAATAATTATTTGCACATATTTCACCCAGTTTACCGTAATTCTCTTTAATTTCTTATCTCGTATCTTTATTTTTACTCTTCTGTGTAAAGGAAACCTTCTGCTAAATTGTGATATCGTAGGTGATTTACCTACGATCTAAAAGAACTGGCGTAATAATAATAAATTTTTAAACTTAAATTTAAAATTGAATTATTTAAAAAGCTTCTTAATAAACTTAAAATTTTTTTTAATAAAGTTGATAAAATATATACTAACTATATTTTTATATAATAATTATATTTTTAACATTAATATTTTATATTTTATTAAAAAATTAATAGTCTTTTTTTATATTTGCAAGCAAATTTGTCTATTTTACAATTTAAGAGATAATACTAACTTATTAGTTTACATATTTAAATAAAGTATTTTATTAGTTATAATAAGAAAAAATAAATTTTTAAAATTTTAGTATTTTGATTTAATCAGGATATAAAAACTAATTTTTAACTTTATATTATTTTATAATAAATATATTAAAACTTTTATATATATATTTAATAGTAATAAAAAAAAAATAAAAAAAATATTTAACTTACTTTGCAATAGAAAAAAAAAACTATAAAAAAAATTTTTTTTACTTTATAAATTAAATAAAATATTAACTTAAAAAAATTTTTTTTTAGTTTTTTTTTTAATTATAAAATGATCAAATGAAAATTTATTTAATATATAAATATATAAAATTTAATTAATAATTTATCTTTTTTTATCTATTAAATTAAATAAAATTTTTGATTTAAATTGTAACTTAAATAAAAATTATTATTAATATTTTATTATATTATTCTGTAGAAAAAAATAATACTATTAAAAAATTTAAAATGATTTTTTAGAATTAAAGTTAATGTTTTTATATAATTATTTTAATTAAATTTATTTTATTTAATTTTAAAGGTAAATATTAAAAAATTTTTTTTATTATTATTTATATTATTAAAATATTAAGTTAAAGTTTTGATTTTTTTTTTTTAAATTTTTTAAATAAGAAATTCAGTTGTTGCTTTTTTTGTAACTTTAAGGATTGAGTTTTTTTATAAAATAACTATTATTTTATATAGAAATAATACAATCATTATCAATTTTTTCAGAAGCTTTTAAAAAAAAATTAGAAAATTATAAAATTTTAATTATTCAATAAAAAATTCAATTTATTTAATCAAATATATTTTAGCTAATTTTATAATTTCATAAACCTTTTAATTCTAACTGAATGGAATTTATTGTGATTTGGTAAAAATTTTTGAGAAGGCTGATTTGGATTTAAATCAATATTGACAAGAAAAGTAATTTTAAATGCATATTTTTTTATTTTTGCCGAATCCGTAGGCTTTAACTGGAAGTAATTTGTCACAAACGAAGGAAACCATTCTTTTATGTTTATTGTAAAAACTAGGAATTGTCTATTTTAATTTTTAGCTATGTATAAGTGATAGGTCAGGTTTTAATTTAAAGTTCATGAAATAAATCAATGTGTAGGATTATCGCTAACCTTACATACTGCAAATGATAATATGTACACATTAATCAACTATGGTAAGGCGATAATGTCTTAAACATGTCAATTCTTATAGAAGCGAAAAGTTGAGAATCAGTCCTTTAAAGAAATCCAACGTAATTTATTTCATTTATGAATAAATCACAAAATAAATAAGTGTAACTTATCAAAAATTAAATTACTCTACAATTAAAATAATAATTACGGTATAATAAAACCTTTTATTTTAATTAAATATTCTTCTTAATCCCAATCATCATCATCATCATCATCGTTTACTTCCCCAAATCCGAATATAGACTTACGCTCTTCTTTCTTTGGAGGTTCCAGTTTCGTAATCACCCCTATATTAAAAAATTCATTTAAAACACGATACAAATTTTACTAAGAATATACTTTGCACTTACCACTTTGAGATAAGCGAAATTCCAGAATTGCAGTGGTAAAATTATCAGTGTTACCAAGTTCATCAAACCCAACAATCCTAAATGTGATATTCAAACCATTCAATATAATTGAATAAAAATGAATAGAAAAATTTATTAGGCTATCATTTACCGATCAACAGAAATTCCATCTACGAACGCGATAATGCAAGGCAATATTTGAATATTAAGCTTTTCCACCAAGAAAGGGCAATTTTCTACATTAATTTTTACAAATTTTGTTTTGAAATGTCGATGCGCGATTTCCTAATTACATATAAAAATAAATTAGTGCTGAATTGAATAAAAACGCATATAATTTTAAACAATAAATACCGAAATATGTTTATCCACTATTTGACATCTTCGAAATTCCTTATGAAAAAAATGTACTACACACAATTTAGTATTTGTTGATATGTTAAGTACTTCCTTTTCGGTCGCAATTTCTACGTATGATCCATGATCATTTTGACGCATTTCTTGTAACTTTGTCATTCTGTTTTATGACATAATTATTTATAATTAGTGTAGTTGTATTTATCAAAATATTTCAATAAATATATACATACTCTTGCTTTAATTGTTCCATTCTTAGTTCACGAAAACTCGCCAATGCAAAATCATCACTCTCTAATTGTTCAAATAACTCGTCGTCTTCAATCTCATCGGATTTATTATTTGTTTCTGTAACTTTATCAAGCACATCTTGAACCCGTTCATTAATGGGCTCCTGTATTCTAAAAAGTCAGAATTATGAATGAACATTTCACTAAGAGTCATTTATGCATTAAATATTATGGAAAAAAAAATGGAAAAAAAAAAAAATAACACACTGTTCTTCGGTGTGTTTGGACATGGTGAAAATTTCTAATGAATGAATATGGAATGAAGTTCAATGTGAACTCCATTTAATTTGTGTTACCATCTCGGTCACACTGTTATAAATTTGACAATCATTCAATTCCATGACGCGATTTAACATTTAACTGATTGGGTATTTGCTTTCTTGAGATCAAAAGAACGTAGAATTTTAGAATTTTTTGAAATCTCAACCTTATACAAAAAACGATGAGTTCTGGTCCACTTACTCCAATCTCTCAGACTTCAACTCGTCTTAGATATAGTCTTGCAACGGAGTTAGTTTTTATAGACAATTCAGATGGTTCTGGAGTAAAAGATCCCTATAATGCTGCTTCTGTACCAATTTATCAGTCGGCAACGTTCAAACAATCTTCAGTAACCCAAATGGGAGAGTTTGATTATAGTCGAAGTGGAAACCCAACTCGTTCACACTTAGGTGAGTCTTCGGCAACTACATTACAGGCTTACTTGATATTTACAACAAGTCCTAGTGTAATAGTGAAGCCATTTTCTTGCAATATGCTGTAGCTGGAACAAAATTTTCGGAAATAAAATCTCCATTTCTGAATATATTACTCGAATCAAATGCTTTTATTATTATACTTTGATAGAAAATCATCTTGCAAAAATTATGTCTGCCAATCGAGCTTTTGTGGTTAGTAGTGGAATGAGTGCATTAGATGTGATCACTCGTCTGGTTAAGGCAGGCGAGGAAATCATTGCAGGGGATGATTTATACGGAGGTAATGTTTTATAGTAAAAATATAATATATATATCTTATTATATACCAATTTTCTCTAAATTAAATTACTTCTTTTTTCTTCAAGGTACCAATCGCCTTTTATCGTTTCTTGGTAAAAGTTGTGATATTAAAACACACCATGTCGATACGACTTCTTCGGATGCACTTATGCCTTATTTGCATCCAACTAAAACTAGGCTGATTTTATTGGAATCGCCAACGAATCCATTACTTAAAATATCAGATATTCCTAACGTTGCATCTATCGTACATGAAAGATGTCCTAATGCTTTAGTAGTAGTTGACAATACGATGATGTCTCCCTATCTCCAAAGACCTTTGGAATTTGGAGCTGATATTGTGATACACTCTGGGACAAAATATCTCAGTGGACATCACGATTTGATGGCTGGTGTCATTGGAGTTAAAGATGAAGTTGTTGCGGAGGTAAATTACAAATATAATCTGAACTTTGAGAGAGATTATAAAAGATTTCGCTCTTACTTATTTCACGTCAGAAATATCAAATTTAGCATTACGAAGTATCACACGTTAAATGAACTTTCCTTATTTATATCTAGAAAATCTATTTCACTATTAACGCAACTGGTTGTGGTCTCGCTCCATTTGATTCTTGGCTTTTGCTTCGTGGTATAAAAACACTTGGAGTTCGTATGGAAAAGCAACAAGCCAATGCCATCCAAATAGCAGAGTTCCTTGAGTATCACGGTTTTAAGGTCATGTATCCAGGATTAAGATCTCACCCACAATATGGATTACATTATACTATGTCTCGTGGTCCCGGTGCTGTGTTAAGTTTTGTGACAGGAGATGTAGAAGTTAGCGAACGAGTTGTGGAATCAACGAAAATATGGGCGATTAGTGTCAGTTTTGGTTGTGTCAATTCTTTGATAAGGTGAGAGGAAAAGGGCAAAAGAAAATTCTGCTATCATAACTGCTTTCAAAACGATATATATGTTAACTTCTCTGATTAAAATCAACATAAAAAGTATGCCTTGCAGAATGTCTCATGCTAGTATTCCTGCCGCAGTTCGACAGGAAAGAGGATTTCCAGAAGATTTGATACGTCTTTGTGTTGGTATTGAAGTAAGCAATTTTTTTTTTTTTGATTTTTGCTACGTAATTTAATGTTTATAAATAATTTGACGTTCCTATTTTATATATAGGATGTAAATGATTTGATTGAAGATTTATATTCAGCATTAGTAATAGCCAATGCTGTTAATGTTGGTCAAAATAATGGTATTAAATAAATAGAGTATATAAATTACGATTAGAAAGTTAGGCCGAACTTTTATTTAAATCCGAACGGAATCATTAATTTTCTGTCACACAGCCAAGAACTACTGACGTATGTATTATATAAATATAAATAAAATAAAATAATAAATAAAAACTTGGTATCAATTATAAAAGACCTAGAATCCTGTTTTATTGTTCGAGATTAACTTTGTCGCTCGTTTCAACCCTTTCAAAATTTTAGTAAAGTTAGATTAACATTCATATCATACTTACTCTTTTCAATAAAAACTATTATCTCAAAAAAATTCGTTTGTTATCATAATTTGAAAATGTCGAAATATGTAGTAAAGGCTACTGCTCGTACGATGTAAGCAATCTATTATTGTTCTGGACTTTTTTTTTGTAAACAATGTTGATACTGCCAGCATCTTGTATACTTTGAATACATTTAAAGATTTACAGCCTGACTTTTATCCCAAAGATTTATTTATAATATATTCACACACTTGCAAATGTCTTATATTACAGAAAAAATTATACAAAAGGTTACTCAGATATTCAGGCAAAGGTCCGAAATGCTACTTCTAATGACCCTTGGGGTCCGAGTGGTACTTTAATGGATGAAATTGCTCGAGCAACGTACAATCCGTAAGTATGATTTTCTATTTCGATAGATCCGTGCAAATTTTCATATTGTAAAAAAGTAAATTAGAAAATAGAAAAAGTAATTAAACAAACAAGAGATAGAAAAAGTTTAGAAATATATATATTTTTTCTAACTACTTGATAAATTTTTTAGGAATGATCATTTAGAAATTATGGAAATGATTGATAAAAGATTAAATGATCATGGTAAAAATTGGAGGCATGTTTTTAAAGTGAGTTAATGAATTTGAAGTTAATGAAATTTAATGTTTTTTTATCATATATTTACAATCTTTTCTATTCATTAGGCACTCACATTATTGGATTACTGTCTACATGGAGGGTCAGAAAATGTTGTAAAGTATGCAAAAACAAATTTATATGTAGTAAAGACTTTAACAGAATTTCAGTATATCGATGAGGATGGCAAAGATCAAGGTTTAAATGGTATGTTATAGCAATCCATTAAACATACTTTATTTCGTAAATATTTAAAAGATTTCGCGTTATTAAATAATAGTAAGACAAAAGGCCAGAGATATTACTAATCTGCTCCAAGATGAAGAACGACTAAACCAAGAAAGACGAAACAGAGATGACATGAGACGACGTATGGGAGGTCGCGCTGATCGTTCTGTGCTTGACCCAAGTTTAGATAGGTCAGTCGAACAACCTGGTTATCTAGATGATGAGTCAGAGTTTCAAAAAGCAATTGAAGAAAGTAAAAGATCAGCACAAGAATATGAAGCAAGAATAAAAGAAAGGTATAAGAGATCTATCATTGAAATTAATAATACCCAAAAAAGGTTATGGTACTAAATTGATTTTAATAATAGTGAAAAAGATGAAGTGGAAAAGGCATTAAAATTAAGTAAGGAGGAAGAGGAACAACGATTAGCTAAAATAGCCGAACAAAACGATAAACCTTTAATAGACACATCAGGGTTAGATAATTTTTTTTTTCGTTTGTTTTAAAACATGTTGGTATTGTTTAACGTAAAGCTTGATATTATATAATTTCTTCGATAGATATGGAAATAGTCCATTTCTACAGTCGCAGCCTGATTTCTTCAGTCAGCAAATGCATAATCAGTTCAATCAAAATCAATACAGTAGCACATCGAGTAGCCAATTTCCTTTCGATACGATTGATAACTCACAAAACCCGATTAATTATAATCAACAATTTTTGAATAATAATCCATATCAGATGCAACAATCTCAAATCACCAATCCTTATCAGCAAATGCCAACACCTGTTGGTTCAAATAATCCATTTGGAAATTTTTCGCAACAATCGCAACCATCACAACAATCACAACAATCGCAACAACAGCAAACTGGTTTTGGAGCTACTAGTCTATATGGAACAAATGAAATGCCATCCTTTAATATGACTTCCTCATCTAATTTCAGTTCTCCTAACTTAACAAGTTCATCAACATTCGATTCGTTCTCATCACGCAGCACGCAGGTATGCTAAAACCGATCATTTAAGATATTTAATCGATATTAATGTTGCTAACTTATTTTTTTTTGATATAGCCCAATTTCGATAGCTTACTTCCATCACAAGTATGGTTACACTTTTATTTAAGGTTTGAATTGATTCGTTAAAATTTTATCGTTATCTAACTTTTTTCTTAAATAATATAGAACATAATAAAACCACAAGATGAAAAACACGCAAAATTGGCTTCACTCATTGGTAGTGGAGGGTAAGTATGATTATAATATAAAAGGTTTAGTTAATTATTTAATATATAATTTATTATTTTCATTAATAATAGAGATGGCATGGACACTTTTGGAAATATTGGAAATCGTCGTATTCCGGCGTAAGTATTAATTTGTGATTTCCTTAATTCATACAACATACTAACTGATATTTTATTATTAATTTATTTAAAAAAGTGGTTCTGGTTTTGCCTCTACATTGAATCCAAGTAGTAACGCTTTATCAGTAGATAGCCCACCACCAAGACGATCAAATTCAACTGGTGATATTGGTGTCACTCAGGCCAATCCGTTTCTTAATTCAGGAGGTCCTAACTTTAGTAGCAGTGGATATAACACACTTCCACAAGCTTCAGGTTTTAATCAACCCGATACTACTTCAAATCTTGATATATTCTTTAGTGGCAATAACAATAACACATTCAATCAAAGATCGAATCAGGTAAAAATTAAACAAAAGCTTAAGATTTTATTACTTTTTTGAAATATTTC